CACTTTATGCACTTCACTGGACATAACATGAAAAATAAAAGTTACACGTGTACTTGTATATCAACTCTACCTCAAGCTGAGAAAGATTGTGTCGGCCTCCTTCTAAAATTTTGAAAATCTCCTGAAACTCTGCTCCCTCCTTGACGATGCTTTCCACTGATTCCTTATTTTGCGATCCATTTAGTGCATTCAAAAGTTTTTTCAAACCTTACAAAAACAAGCAGAAAAATCAAAGCAAACAACATGCTAATTGATATAAGCTTCTTATCGTACATAATGACATTCTCCAGTACTATAAGATTACGAATCTTTTTACATCTGTTAATTCAGCCTTTGTAGAATGAACAAAAACGGTATTATTATGGAAAACAACAAGTTAAAAGTGATATTTCTTTCCTAATTTAAACATACCCGCAAGTCTTGTCTGTTCTCTCTGTAACAACCCCTTCGCCGTGCGCAAAAACTCACTCGGTTTGTTGTTGTTTTGCCTCTCGTCTACAAGACTAGAAGCCTTTCTCTTCCTTTGCGGCATTCCGTCTTCGTCTGCATCTCCACCTTTTCTTTTCTTCATGCTTCTTTTTACATTTGAAATCTTCCCTACAAACGTTTACACTGTACTGTAACGTGTGTGTAGAGTTTCGAGGACGCCGCCATATTGTCTACTTGCACGTGTTTCAACGAGTACTTTATATAGCTGGTATTGTAATGTCACAAATCCTCGCGTGACTCCGTAGCGTGACAGATGTGCTCCAAAGCAACGGTTTTCCCCGACTGAGGAAACATTTTCTTTGCAAAAACTGTCAAGTTTGGGGCCACAAATTTTTTCATGAGTTTGCAACGGATTCTTATGAAACTTCGCATACTTACAAAATTTGGCATGATAAATCGAGCCATGAGGCTTACTTTTTGTTTGAAAGAAAAAAATATTTAGATGAGTGTGACATCGGTAACTTACTTGTTTTATTTTGTCCAGCCTGTGACCTGTGATCTGACCTGTGACACGTACTTTTAATTAGCCCTTTCCGCTTATCCTAACAGTTATATTTGCAAATCTAGTCGCTGACTAATTTAATTTTGTCAAATATAAGTTTTAGATATTATATGGGCCAAAAATTTGTAAACATGCTGATTTTTTCTGTTTATAATATTTACAGTCACTCAAGATAAGTACAGATGGCAAAACATTTGTTTTCTGATGTGCTTTATTTTTTTGAAGTTTCCTAAAGTTGAATAAATAATACATAACAAATTCTTTATAATTTCAGCTATATATACCAGTTATCAAAAATGCATGTATAATGTAAGTGTGAATTAGGACACAAAGTAATTACAATGTTTTGCTTTGTTTTGAAAAAACGTTGTATTACTTAGCCTGCGTCGCAGACAGTCTAAACCACCAGTATAGGGTTGGTGGACAGACCATACCGGGGATTTTGTGACACGTCTGTGTGCAGCCACCACAGGCTACATATTACTAGACTTACTAGGATCAAACATCAAGTAAGGGAAAAAATTAAAAATGGTAAATGTCAACTTGTGATCATATTGTCAGAAGTAAATGTACTCAGTTTGCAACAAGTAATACGACAAAGAAAAAAATGTTAAATCCTCAACAAGTCAAAACAATGATCTTCCACAAATTGTATATTCTGTTTGGTTTTAATCAAAAAATTTTAGATTTTGTTTCTGAAGGCAAATTCCAGGAATTTTATGAGTCCCATTCTAACTGGTAAATATAATTTATATACATGATGCTTGATTTCTAAGCTTGAAAAACATGGAGATAATAAATATTGGGGGCAGGGGATGAATTCTTGTCAATGGGGTATTTTCAATAGCATGATATAAAAGTAAAAGTTTTGTGCTCAAGTCCAATTTTTGCCCCCACCCAGCCCCCATCAATCTAACCCTGTGTCAACTGTATATAAAGTGATTTTTTTTTTCAATTCTAAATTTGAGTATGAATGTATTAACATACCTTGAGGATTGTGAAAAATCAAAATCAATTTTATTATATCTAAAGTTCAAAATGATTTAATTTCTAAGAAGCTTTGTGACTATATGAGCCATCGGAATGTTGAATGCTTAATTGATCGAACACCACACTCATTCCCTCTTTAGTAGGAGAACAACAGTACAGTCCAATCTTCACTGCGTTCCCTCTGGAGTCCAGATGACAAATTCGAACAAATTTCCATTCATCAGAGCTTCCGTTTGGTAATTTACTCTCAATCTATTACAGAAAGGAAAAATGTTTGATAATTTTCCAGTGCACACAGGATTTAATTGTGAAAATCAGTGGAGACTAAGCCTGGTCAATAAATGACATAGGAATCTAAATAAATTCAAACTTTAAAACTCTGGGGATAGGCTGACAAACCTCTAGGGCACTGTCTGCAGGGAGAAGCAAATTCCACGCTGACTTATGCAGCAATTATTTATATGGCCTTATGTCCCAGCAGGGACAAAGAATAGGGAGTGTCATGTAACAGAAAATGGAATTACACAATAAGTCCTCTGTCTCTTACCAACCCCTCAATCTGACCCCTCAATTCTTTGCTTTCATTAACCAAGATACCCGACGATAATTTCCACTTTGAAAACTTAAACCTCTCCAGTAGTGCTGCTATGCAGTATATAGCTAGCATCTCAATACACATGTACAGGATTGCATTAGGCTAGCCTAAATTGCCTTCTCAGCTTAACAACAAACATATGCAAATTGCCATAAAACATCATGTCATGTTCCAGCTTACCACATAATCATCTTGTATCTTGTGAATTCTAATTGCCAATTTGTTGTTGTTCCAGGCCTGTGTTGACCAGTCACTCCAGTAGTTTGTCACTACACAACTCATGAAACATGCTCCATCAACATACTCTAAACCCTTCCAAGTTTGGAAATATGAAAATAAACAACAACAACAGCGTCAAAGTCAATAAAGGATCCACAATCTGGAAATGACCACATCACCAGAAGTCTACAAGTCTTTGGAACCTGCATAAGTCTTGTGCTACGTTTCCCTGAAACTTCACACAGAATTTTCTTCAGTGCACATTTGACGTGCTGCTCTTTGAATCATGCTTACTAACATTAATATTTCAACTGATGAGGGCTCAAGCACCAGCCAAAATGTCTTTAATGAAACATCAAAAAATAGTCAGTGTCAAACCATTATCTTACAATGTTTGCTCCTGACTACCACTACCCTATTTTAATTTAAACAGCAACAACACTTCTAAATCTGACCAACTAAGTTGCAAACGCTTGCTATCTTATAATAGACCCTTCAATTTGGTTTATTTTCTATAGGAAATTTTATGGAAGGCTGCAAATAAGGGCAGAGACACAGACACATTCCTAACATTTACAGTTTTACAAAAATTTCCCAGATATGTTGCAAAGGTTTCTATTCCTTATAAAAGATTAAAGTCAGGGTTATTTTACAATGCTTGAAAAGGACTAGTAAATGTGATTCACATAACCATAAAACAATGTCTTACGCAGCATCAGCAGGTAATACTTACTGTCTTTATCCAATGATCACCATCTACTCTTATCATTATACCAGCCTGCGGATATAAACATCATACTACTAAATCTCACAATTAAGACTCAATACAGCTGGTAGAATAAGGTTGTGAAAGAAGTGACAGCTTGCCCCTGTATAAAATTAGGTTTGCTATTCAGGAAAGAGAAGATGGTCAGTGATCATGGATTTCAAACAGAACTTTTTCTAAAATCATGAGTGGTTTTGGTATACGTGAGGAAGAGATAACTTCAGTTGTGATTCAGAGATCCAGATGCCATTGACTAACCTGATCAAACTGGTTCACAGCTGTTAGTTCAAATGATGTCTCTATGATGCTATTTGTCTGTTTGACCACAAGATGAAGCAAATGCCCATTGTCTTTAATGATTTCTGGGTTGTAGTAAGTTCTAATTTAGATAAAATAAGAGTCAGTTACCTTATTTCGGGAATTTCAGAACACTGAAAATGTCTTAAGGCTTACAATTAACAGTCTAATATTATTGTGAAATAATGCTTTTGGAATAGATGGCATCCTGCCAATGCCACTTTCTAACTCTAGAAAGAAGCCTAACTCTGTAGAGAAAATTGCTGGTAACCCACTTAGCACAACATCCACCTAGTGTCCACTGAGCATCGCATTCTTGTGTCACATCCATTTAGCATCCCACTTCATTAAGGTTACTTCAAACCTTCGCAGGTGTCCTCCAGAAAAAAATTCGTATGCACACTGTTTTGAAGGAAACCCCCACAAACTATATATCAATAGAAAGGTTATAAAATGTAGAATTCGATAAAATTATATTCTTTTTTGATGACTGCTTTCCTAAGGTGGCAAAAGCCATTAACGCCAAAACGACCGACTGAAATTCCGGCGAATTAATTGGGTATCAAATGCAGTCGTTGATGCAAAATAACTGTGCAGTGTTAATCACAAAGCATCAATCTCTCAAAGCATGTCAGCATTTTCTTTCATTTCTATTGGTTATCTTTTTATAGATCTGTCAAGTTCCACTATCAAAAAATTCGCATAACATGTTGCATTAGAGACCGCCACAAGAAAAGTATTTGAAATAAGAGAATTCACTGACACATTTTTGTTCCATATCTATCAGTGAATGTTCTGGCCAAATTTCAAGGAAAACTGTCGATTCTAAATACCCTATTAATTCATTTAAAGAGGAGGGATTCTCTCAAAAAACGAGTGCAAGTTTTCGCCTTGTAAAGATTTATAAACATGTCATGCCTTCTCAGAGGGACATGTCAACTCAAAATGCCACCAGCCAATGAAATAACAGAACCCCTAGTGTTCAGAGTAAGGAAAGTTGAGCTTCGTGATAAAGTGATAGTGTTACAGTCACGTTTTAGGTGCATATGTTTTAGGCCGGTGGTCAACAATAAAGGGCAAAACGGAGAAAAGCGATGTGCAACAAGACAAAAAGAAACTTAAGAGCAATTGCCAAAGTGTGATTACAAAAAGGCATTCTTGACCGACATGAAATCTCAAATTGAAAGTATTTGATATAGGATCTCTGGATTAAGTCATTTGCCACGAAAAGGTCGCTAAGGAGTCCATGCCTTTTGGGGATTATGACACCTTGACGGTTTATTAACTTTTGTTAAAAAACCTCTTTTTCCCAATAACTCACGGACATTTTAATATGTTATCTTCATTTTTTGGAAATGTTACCTTGAATAATGAACTTTAATTTGGTTGGAAAAAAGAAAATTTGGAAAAAGTAGCCCCACGAAGGTTTAGAGTAACCTTAAGAAGAAACTGTTGCAAATTATCTGTACCTTTGATTAAGTGTGCCACTTTTGACAATTCATTACCATGAAACTTAGACCACAAGACAAATTCTTTGCACATTCTAGACCAAAGCTTTGAGCTCCAAGGTCAACCTTTTTAAGCTAAGGATGCCAGTGTATGTGAAAGACTACAATGGTATGCTAGATGCTTTGTAAACCCAAGTCAGAGAACAAAAAAGCATTAACTGCAGTGTACATAAAAATATTTTGGCACAAACCTTAAGATAGAGCAATAAAAAGAAATAATTCTTAAATTGTTTCACTTCGATAATTTATGATGCTTATTATAAACAATTTGTTAAAACAAACCTCTTCCAAAAATCTGTTTGTCCTTTCTGAAAAGAAGGACACCATTTTAATATGTTTTATTACGGAAATTCAGCAAACTTGGATTGGCATGCCTAGCTACTGCTCCATATCCAATCTTTAATCTTGAGCAAACTCAAAAGTATTATAACCATGCAAATTTTGATCTTTATAGGAATATTATACCAAGAACCAAGCAAAGAGAAACTCAGCTCTGCCTTTTAAAGCTTCTTAAATAAGTCAAATATTATCAACTGAAGGAACAAGTTTATTCTAAAACGTTGTCTAGTACGCAAGCGTCACTTTCAACCCTCTTTGACTTTAGCCTTAAATTTTCTCGTTATCTGAATTCATGGTTTTTCCAGCTAAACCAGGTGAAATGCTATTGAGAAGATCTTAATTACTTGAGCTCATCTATTGATGACTCTAGGAGATACCGATTTGTAGACCTTAATTAGATGTTGTGAATAAATTGGCTATTACTAGACATGGGGACATACCGATAAAACTATTAATCCTGTGTCGCCATTGCAGCGTAGTTTATACTGCCGTGGTGGATTATACCAAAGAACATCTGGACCAAGCTTTTCCGAGCTGAAATTTAGAGATAAACAAAACTGTTCCCCAACAGCCGCCATAATCAGTGGCTTCACTGATCGCAGGCTCGCATGTGGACTCGACCTTGGCACGCTGACACAGACTAGCGCAGCGAAACCTCTTTTAGTTTCTTTTCATTTGACTGAGGGGAAATTTTCTGATTACGTATACAGATGCTTGCACGCGATTAATTCAAATCAGAACTGACATTCCAGCTTCTATCCCCAAATGATCCACGGCCTTTCTTTCCTTCTTTCTTTCAGTTATTTTTGTTTGTTACGTTACCCAAACCGGGTTTTCTCCTAGAGAACAGAGCGGTATGGAATTAAAGGCGTAGGCAAACAGGCTATGTTTACTGAAGTCGGATTACGCACAAAACAGAACAGTCAGATCAGGACACCATTGCCACCCGGGTGGAATCCCATATAAAAAGGACGGGGGTGCTCGTCGGAAAGTTCGAAAACAACCCCTAGAGTGTACCATGATAATGTTTTGTGGGCGTTGCNTCTGTTTGTCCTTTCTGAAAAGAAGGACACCATTTTAATATGATGTATTATGGAAATTCAGCAAACTTGGATTGGCATGCCTAGCTACTGCTCCATTTATCCAATCTTTAATCTTGAGCAAACTCAAAAGTATTATAACCATGCAAATTTTGATCTTCATAGGAATATTATACCAAGAACCAAGCAAAGAGAAACTCAGCTCTACCTTTTAAAGCTTCTTAAATAAGTCAAATATTATCAACTGAAGGAACAAGTTTATTCTACAACCTTGTCTAATACGTAAGCGTCACTTTCAACCCTCTTTGACTTTGGCCTTAAATTTTCTCGTTATCAGAATTCATGGTTTTTCCAGCTAAACCGGGTGAAATGCTATTGAGAAGATCTTAATTACTTGAGCTCATCTGTTGATGACTCTAGGAGATACCGATTTGTAGACCTTAATTGGATGTTATGCATAATTTACTATTACTAGATATGGGGACATACCGATAAAACTTTTAATCCTGTGTCGCCATTGCAGCGTAGTTTATACTGCTGTGGTGGATTATACCAAAGAACATCTGGACCAAGCTTTTCCGAGCTGAAATTTAGAGATAAACAAAACTGCTCCCCAACAGCCGCCATAATCAGCGGCTTCACTGATCGCAGGCTCGCATGTGGAATCGAATGTGGCGCGCTGACACAGACCAGCGCAGCGAAACCTCTTTTAGCTTCTTTTCCTTTGACTGAGGGGAAATTTTCTGATTACGTATACAGATCCTTGCACGCGATTAATTCAAATCGGAACTGACATTCCAGCTTCTATTCCCGAATGATCCACGGCCTTTCTTTCCTTCTTTCTTTCAGTTATTTTTGTTTGTTACGCTACTCAAACCCGGTTTTCTCCTACACAACAGAGCGGTCTAGAATTATAGACGTAGGCAAACAGGTTATGTTTAAGTCGGATTACGCACAAAGCAGAACGGTCAGATCAGGACACCATTGCCACCCGGGTGGAATCCCATATAAAAAGGACGGGGGTGCTCGTCGGAAAGTTCGAAAACAACCCCTAGAGTGTACCATGATAATGTTTTGTGGGCGTTGCTAGAAAATTCTTTCACCCCTATTTATAATATAACTGCAAATTCAAACGCTAACTTTCTTGTCAAGAGAAATCTTGTAAGTGAATCGGCGCATAGAAAAACAGACTAACAATAGAACAAGTTCTCCTCCATTTCCATGAAAATCATTGGTTTAATAGCCAAGGTGAATGAGTTTTGACACCAGTAAGTAAATAGTAAACATCACTATAACAACAGATACAATTCGTCAGGACAAACGCACACAACATTAAATTTAAAAAAAAAAATTAATTCTCTTTGGCCATTAATATTTTAAGTTGCTTTTGACCTAGTTCAAACGTAGTCTTTTGGTCCGGCCCACTCCACAATATCTCGCCCTGGATTCCCCTATCCTTTCCGTCTTCGCATCTGTTTTCCAAAATTTACCTTAAAACACAAATATTTTGCGCTCGGCTATTCAACGATGCTGTCGAGCCTAGATGCGACGCGACTAAGATAATTCATTACTGAAGGGCTAAAAGAACAAAGATATGAACAATATTGTTTTAATTTCTAGTTTTCCAATCTCTCCGCAAAATGATGCTTGAAGGCTAATGCCAAAAACCTACACGTGTATAGAACAAGCGTTGTTGTATAGACAGAAGTAGACTGAAAAACCTGATGTGTTTCC